TTTTTTAATCATATATATATATATATATATATATATATATATATATATATATGTATGTGTGCATATATAGTTGGCTTGTTTGAGTTGATTGTGTTTAGAATATTTTTCTTAATTGGGTAATATTTGTCATAAATATACTCAAATTATCATTTGGCATATGTGAAGTTGTGAGATTATGATAAAATTATACAATTTTTATTAGTTTTTTTTTAATGATAATTTGCAATTGTAGATTCTTCTTTTTAAGGTTATCTTATGTCTATTCCTTGTTTCTATTCTCCATACTTTTATGAAGACTACCCAAGGATAATGTTAGATCTTTAGTTACAATTGGAAGTTTGGATTAGGGATGGGACTAAAAATGAGAATAAACAACATAATTGGTCTCTAGGAAGGCTATTAACTGTGAGATATTTCAAATTGTTGATTAATTATAATGTTTTATCTAATCAAAGACTTATAAGAAAGTAGGGTACTCATAGTTTAGGTAAAAGGTTGATCTAGATCTCAAATATCTAGAATTTGATTTTAATTTAATTACCTTTTGATCTTGATAGTTTTATTAATTTTATTTATCAAACGTTTCATTTTAGTTTATATATACGTCTCTCTGTCTCTGTCTATATATATATATGGGGATTGATTTACTTTAGGAGTAAGTTTACCTAAACTTATTCTGTTTAATAACTCATGTTCTATATCAAATTTTAACGATCCAATCGTTGAAATTAAAGTTTTTAATATATAGAAAGTCTACAAATTTTTTAAAAATTTAAAATTCATTTGATACTTTATTTCATTAATTCAAATTGATAGATAATTATAAAATTATTTTGTACATTGATTTGAATTAATAAAACAAAGTGTCAAATGATTTTCAAAATTTTTAAAAATACATTTAATCTATGCATTAAAAACTTTAAATTTAATGATTGGATTGTTGAAATTTGATATAGAACATAAGTTATTAAACGGAGTAAGTCTAGGTAGACTTACTCCTTGAATAAACGAATCCCTCCTTTTATATATATATATAATAAACTTATCTCTCTTTTTATATATATATATATATATATATATATATATATATATATATATATATATATACAAAAAATAAAATAAAATATTTTAATTCAAGCATTAAAAGGTAAAATTCAGAAGAAAAAAAACAAATAATTAAAATTTTGATTTATAATCTTATCTTTAGAACTTGAATTCAGATAAAATCTAGATTATTTAAGTAAGGACTAAGGATTCAAATGAAGCAAATTCAAACATCATTTGCATAATGAATAATTTATTTTTGCTTTATTTTCCTATGTAATTTTTTATGTTTTGATTGATTTTGCTTTACTTCTAATGATTACAATTAAAATATCTCTTTTTAAAGTTGAGTTCAAATAATAGAGAATTTATTATTTAAGATTTTTCAATTAGGTTCTTAAATTAAAAAAATACATAGTTAGATTTTCATCTTTTTATATTTGTGTAATTTAATCTATGGAATTATAAATTTATTTGTAATCCATGAAAAATTCCAAAATATTCTTGATACATATGTGAAATGATACAAAATAATAATCTAATATGATTTTGTAAGTATACGAATATTAAAAATATTTTATAAATAAATTTTTAACTACAAAAGCTAAATGACAAAATTATAAAAAAAGATGATGGACCAAATTAAAAAAAAAATAGTTTAGGAATATAATTGAAAATTTGTAAAATTTTCATTTATATTAAACCTTAAAAAAAATAATCTACCTAAGGCCCATATTTGTTTACCAGTATCTTAACTCATTACATGGGATAGGAAGAAATCATTTTATTTTATTGGTGAATGGAATATATTATAAAAGCCAAGAAATCTATAGGAAAACAAATGCTATTGCGGTATGCCTTTAAGGCATTACATATAAAACCATGGGAAAAATGAAACACTTGATATTTAATAAACTTAAGCTATGATTGGCCAACCAATCAACTATTTGGTTCAATTCTCTCAAAACATGACACCAAATGCCCTTCATTTCAGTGAATCTTATGAATAACTTTTATCTCACTATCACAAGGATGAATTAATATAACGATATCCTACAACTACAAGAAATGTTCATATCACATTCGGACAAAATCTATCTGTAATCTAGAAAATTCGTAAGTAATATCAAGTTTTTAACAGATTATTTATGAATAATATTCCATTAATAAATCGTTCATATGAAACTGTTACTAAGTAACTTTTTGAGACAATTACTGATGGAATACTCTGTTTATATTGTCACCAACTTACAGAAGAATACATAACTGAAAAATTACAAATAGATATAAACAAATTAAAATAATCTATCTTTATTAGTCAGTAACATGATCACATTATGAGAGTTAGAACAGACTATAAATATGTGAAAGTCCCTATTCCAAACGACACATTTTCTTCTAAATAATCTTCAAAGTAATAAGATTATATAAATAATCCTTAAAAAAATTCATTAGTTTCTACCATGATATATTTTATTAACATTAAAGGACTAAATTGAAAGATTTTCAATACTTTAAAGACTATGTAGTATGATTTTTAATACTTTACTGTACTATAAATCTTTATTACTTTAAAGAATAATTAGGAGAGAGTAATATTTTAAGGATTAAAGTGATTGCTTATTTTCTGTGATAGATATCAAACAGTTATGCAGTTTCCTACTATTAAAAAATATAATTATCTGTGATAATGGTGGATGTCTTTGGTAAATCTTTGTACCGTGAACCACCCACTAGCCAGTCTTTTATTCTATATAAAATGAATTATGTTAAAATTTTAAATTTAAAGATTTTACGATGTAATTTTTTAAAGATTTTAATGCTTTTAAATAAATAAAATACATGCTTGTTATTCTCGTTAGTTTATTTTATAAATTTAATTTCTCTTAAACTAATAAGAAATTAATATTCAAATGAAATTTAGACTAAATTATTAATATATTTTACTTTTTTAAGTAAGTTTTTTCTATTTAAATTAATTTTATAAAATAAATATTTTTCTTTTATTTATTTGTACGTAACTTTCTTGCAAATTTTTTAAATTTAAAATCTCTTGAGGTTATACATTTAATTCAATTCAATAAAATCAACTTGTAAGGTGAGAATTGACCTACTTATATACTCTTTAATTATTTTATTTCTAATTGATGTAGGACTTGAAGTTTTTCTTAAATATTAAGTAGAACATGTTTTTAGAAAAAAAAATCAATTCATCATATTAAACTAAAAATTTGTATTATTATAAATTATATTAACTCTTAAAATATTCAATATTCTAAAAACAACTAGTTTTTTTATTAAATAATTTTATTTTAAAAAATATCATTAAATTAAAATTCATTATTATTAATTTATACATTTAATTAAAATTAATGTTTAATTTACTGATATTTTAAATTAAAAATTAATTTTAATGAAATATTTATAAATAATTTAGTAAAATAATATTTTGTTAAGTAAATACTTTTAATTTTTAATTTTTATAAATTATCATTAAATTAAAATTCATTATCATTAATTTATCATACTTATAAAATTTATATATTTAATTTAATTTAATTTAAATTTAATTATAATGATAAATTTATAAATAATTTAGTAAAATAATATTTTTAAATTATAAAAAAATTAATTTTAAACTTTCAAATTTAAATATATTTTTTTTTATTATTTTTCTTATGGATTAAAATTCTTAGGAAAATTCACAATAAAAGTTACCTATGAAATTTTCCTTCCATTTATTATACTACTAATAAATATTAAGTGTGAATTTATTTTTGCAAGAAAATCTGTAAGAAACAAAAGAAAACAACATTTTTTGTGAATTTCACCATGAAAAAATTCCTAAGATCACTAAAACCGTAGTAAAATTTGTAAAAATTTATTATAGATTATTTTTCATAAACAAAATTTGTAAGAAATTCCTGCGAATTATTTTTCACAAATAAATTCACAAAAAGTTTTTTGTGGAATTATTATTACAAGAAAATCTGCAAAAAAAATTCTTATGAATATTTTTTGTAGGAAAATTCATAGGAAAATAATATTTTTCTAGTAATGTATCTAGTCCACTTTTAATTGGCGAGTAGGTGTGGCCTAACCCATTTTTGGCAGGTTGATAACAAGTTGGCCCAAACATGCTAGACTGCATTATCGTTTTGCCCTTTCCATTTTTAGGAATCACATTTTCAAGAATATCATAATTAGGAATTTTTTGGATATGTTTCCTTTGGTAATCAAATTATTGGTGGGAAGTCTATATCGACTTTGTTGATGACTAATTTTATAGAAAAATCTAATTGGTCACCTTTTATGAAATTTCTCCTTTCAATCACTTTTTCCCCATAAGACTCAAATGTTGTAACGACCCGGCTGGTCACTACACATTACACAGTACACCTAAAAACCGGACAGAAAGGAACAAGTGTATACATATAGTGTCTAGAATATACATATATACATGGTCCAAGTCTGACTAGATTCAAAATGTACAAAATACATCCAAAGTTACTACACCAAGTAGCTGAAACAACAAAACATCAACAAGGTTCAACTCCGCCTGCCAGCTGCAGACTCACCACTAGCCACCAACCTATCCCTGCTCTGCTCTCATACATAGTATGATCATCGCAGTCCAAACCACATGGAAACAACAAAGGGTAAGCTAGTGAAAAGAAACAACATACATATATAAAATATGAATGATCAACAACTATCAGCACATCAACCAACTTAACAACATCAACCTATAATGTATCACAGTACACATCTCACATCATTCAGCAATATCAGCAGTAAACAACAATAACACACAATGCTTCGTCACGCATATTAGTTAGTATTGGTCGCTTGTAATCGGTATAGCTTGACTTGGCCCCTATACCGTGGTCGCTTTGTACACGTGTGTCTCGACCTTGCCCACACACGGGACCACTAAGACTTAGAGGAGAACAGCAAGTTACCACTCCAAGGTTCAGCTTTCCAGGGAGGGTTTTCAACAAATTGGGCTCGTAGAGCACCACAGCCGCTACATCCACACAATGGGATGAGGTAAATTTCGAAAAGAACTCCTCTAGTCTTAGTGATCAACAACTCAGCCTTACGGCCTACAACAACTCAGCCATTACGGCCTACAACAACTAAGCCATTACGGCCTACAACAACTCAGCCATTACGACCTACAGCAACTCAGCCATTATGGCCTACAACAATTTATATCAACATTCAACACAACACAACTTTTACAACTCAACATATCAACTTGCAACACAACACAACTGTACAACTCAACATCAACTTGCAACACAACACAACTGTACAACTCAACATCAACTTGCAACACAACACAACTATACAACTCAACATCAACTTGCAACACAACACAACTATACAACTCAACATCAACTTGCAACACAACACAACTTTACAACTCAACATCAACTTGCAACACAACACAACTTTACAACTCAACATCAATCAACCAACATCATCTACTAGTCATTACATTATATTCATCCATTTCAACTCAACTCAGCATAAAACAACATAAATCAGTACATACTCATTTCTCATCTCCGCGCCCGGCGCACTCGTAGTTGCGCCCAGCGCAGTGCAACCCGAGAGCACCAGGGGGCTAGCGCGCCCAGCGCAAGCATGCTCGCGCCCGGCAGGACTCAGCTAGAGAGCCTAAGGCTCACACGCGCCTGGCGCAATACCAATTGCGTCCAGCGCCCACAAGGCAGAGACTCCCAAGGAGTCTCACGCCCAGCGCGACAAAGGCCGCACTCAGCGCAACACATCAATATCAGCATCCAGCACAACTAGGTAGTCTACAACACAACTTACTACTCACAACTCAGCTCAACAATCTATAGTACAACAATATTTTAATTCAACATACAACATATTCTAAACATAATACGACTCATCCAGCTTGTTTACAACTCATCTACCTTGTCAAATTACCCACCCAAGCAACACCAATCAACCTAAGCACCTAAAACAACTTTCAACTTAACCAAATCACTAAATGTGAAATGCAACCTTCACAAAAAAACAGCGCATCAAGAGTTATACTACTCCTATCATACTCATCCTTATCTCATATGAAAGATAAGAAGATTTCCTACAACTCTCATGAAGACACCAAGTCCTAACTCCTTCATCTACCATATTAAAAATGATAAAAACCGCAACAGCTATAAATAAAGCTAGCAGCTCGACCCCTCTTCACTAAAACAGCCATATCTAGAGTTCTAAAACTCATTTTTGATTGATTCCAGCGCCATTGGAAAGCTAACCTCCAAGGCTACAACTTTCATGAAGATTGTAAAGTCAAATTCTGAAAATTAAATGCACGCCCGGCTCATTAAAAGCGCGCCCGGCTCATTAAATGCACGCCCGGCGCGATTCACCCAGGGATTCCCCATTTCAAATCTAGCCCGGCACGAAGAACTGCGTCCGGCGCAAATTCAAACAGGAACCCTCAAACTTTCAAAAATTTCTTCAAAACCTACGAAAAACACCATAAAACCAACATGCAAACCATCCAAAAGTTTACATTTCCGTCAAACAGCAATAAAAGCACCTCATTTACAACATGCAACCTCAAATCAATGAAATCCCATTTTTTTCACCCAAACCTCGAAACCCCGGAGAAATCCATTTTTCATCAATCTCATCCAAAATCATCCATCATCAAACAACAATGAGCTTCTAGAACTCATCTTCAGCCAACAATCTATAAAAAAAAAACTAGCTTCCCTTACCTCGATGAAGAGAAATCCGAGCTCTGGGAAGAAGAACGGAGAAGAGAAAGAGAACCCGCACACGACTGGCTCCGAATGGCTTTCAAGTTGGAGAAATTGCACCTCCTAGATCACTCACGGCTTCAACTTGAAGAAGAGAAAAGGAATTCTAAAATTAGTAGGATTTGTGAGGAGAAGAGAGAATTTGAGTGAGTAGGAAAATGAAAGAGAGTTGAGAGTGGAGGAAGGAAAAAGAAAGAAGAGGGTCTCACAAATGTAAAGTCTTTATTTAAGGAGATCAGATTTAGTTCCACCGATATTAATGACTTGTTTGTAATTTCTTGATATATTTTTAAAGATGTTTGGTTACATATTAATATTTCAAGAAATATTTTAAAATTAGAAAATATAAATAAAAAATAAATTAAAAGTATAATTAAAATAACTTTGTATATGTTCTTAGTTATAGAATTTTTTTTTCACTTCTCATGTGAGAATAAGGTTGCTTAAAATATAAGAATATAAATTTCCTCAAAATAAAAGATATTTAAAAATTATCTTGCATGACCTTCTGATCTGACAATTATAAAAATAAATATTCTCACCTTGAAATTCCGGAAATAAGAGATGAGGTGAAACAAACTGCAAAGTTGTGAAACCAGCTACAAATCTCTGTGCAAAAGTTTGTCTATTTTGGAATGATCTATATAGGCTCCATAGTCGAACATTGAACAAGTTCCAGATTTCATGGATATATGTCAATCTTATAATAATTTTGCCAGGATATGGTGAGAACATATTATCAAATGTCAATAATTAATATTGCATGCTCCACGTGTATGCAGTTAACCAATAAGTGCAAGGTAACAATTGACTAAGTACACATTTATCTTATGAGTTAATCATTTATACATTATTAGTGTAAAATTTTTTTTACACCGATAACCAATTATATCTTTTAGTTATGTCATGTCACTATAAACACATTTACTTTTAATAGTGACATGACACAATTAATAGATATAATTAGTTGTCAGTGTGAAAAAAATTTACACTGACAGTGCATAAGTGATTAGCTCATATCTTATATATGAGTTAAAATTTATTAGAAAGTAAAAAATTCTAAATCTCACATTTTATTTAATAATTTTCTCTCTCGTCATTTTATTTTATGTTTTTAAAAATGCATTAATCAACAATAAAATGTGGACTTAAATATATTTTTTATAGTCATTATTTTGGATTGAAATTTATTTAGTATGACATTGTTAATAAAAATAGAGATAATTAAGGTAAAAAAATAATTTAAAATAATTGAAAAAATTAAGAATAATTTAAATTAGTCCTTCAATATTAGTGAAATATTTTCAACATAGTGAAATATATCTACATCGTAAATTGCTTAATCCTAAACCTTAAACCCTAAATTGCTTAACCGTAACGGGTGTAAATAATTCAGACTAAACTTTCCAAAAAAAAAATTGATCAGAACAGACTTCTAATAAAATCTATTTAGTTAAGTAAAATTTTAGGTATCAAAAAGCCTATTAAGCTATACCAGCCCAATCTATTTAAATAAAACAAATAAATATTTTATTATATAAAACTTTATTATAATATACTAAAATCATACATTTATTTATTATTATTTTAAATATTAAACATGTTAACTTATATTAAAAATTAAAAACTTATAAATTTATTCAAAAATAAATTTATAATGTATTTAAAGATCTTATTATAAAGTATGCTTTTAAATAAATATTATCATAAATGTGATATTAGATCTTAAAAATTATGTTTATATCAAGTACAACAAGTTAAATAAATCATTACCTTTTTTTTCTATATTAGTATTAAATATATACTAATATATGAAATGGATACTTCTTTTAGTAACCACCTTGGTCACCATATTTTGTTGACCATTATACCCTTTCATTTTAAAAAATTAAAAAAATAATATTTTTCTCAAAATTAAGACCTTAAAATTAATTGACTAATTATAACATTAGATTAACTTATACTTATTACTTAATTTTTATTTTATTTTATCTTTAATAAAGGCACGAAGTGTCTCGACCATACTAGTTATTATAAAATAGATCTTTTAACAAGTTTATATGTTATGACAAAATTTTAAGAAAGACATGACAAATACACAAGTTAAGAACTAGCAAAGTTTAACCTATTTCTACTCCTATTAACAATATATCTTATTTTACATTTTTGAGTTTTATATTGACATATTACGTTTAAAAATTTATACAATTATGACTAATTTTTTATTATATGATTTACCATTTGTTTCCCTCTCTTTTTTAAGTTGATGGTATAAAAATAATTTTTATTTATAAGTTATCGTATTTTATAAGATACGAATCTTAAATTTAAGATATTTAATGTGTTACAAGATCGACTCTAATGAAAAGAAATAAAAGATATAGTTGCTTATACATAAAACACTTGTATAATACTAGTTTTTTTTTTTTTGTTCTCTAGTGTAATTTTATGCGAGCGGTTGGTTACTCATGTGTTTACATATATGGACATAGCTAAATAGTAAATACCAATGATATTGATCAACGAAATTATCGTCATAATTCATTTGAAATACACTAATCTTTATTATAATATCATTCACTAATACTAATAAATTATTACATAAACCAAAACTCAATTTAACTTTCATATTTCAAATAAATTTTCAATTAAGCAATAATATAAAATTTTCACCGAACTCTTCCTCTTAAGAAGTCTAATAATTACTCTGAAAAAAAAAAATCTAAGAGGCTATTTAAATACAAATTAAAAAATATTTTAAAGAAACTTGAGTGTTTTTGGGTTGAGAGACAAAATAACTTCCCTTAAGTGAATGTGTTAAATATTTGGATAATCCCTCATTAGGGCCCGAAACTCCCCGGCGGTGCCAGAGTCAACGCAGTAAACGTGTCGTCCTCGAAGCGCTCCGTGGCAAAACGACGCCGTTGGGGGGCCCTCCGCTTGAGCGTGGCGTTCCAATGGTTCTTAACGGCATTGTCGGTTCGGCCCGGAAGAAGCCTGGCGATTGTGGCCCACTTGTTCCCGAAGCGCGCGTGCGCGTGGAGTATAACCTCGTCCTCGCGCGTGGAGAAGGGTCGGTGCTCCACCGCGGGACTCAGCTGGTTGCACCATCGAAGCCTGCACGACTTCGCCGACCGGCCCTTTATGTGACGGCTTATCAAGGCCCAGTTCCTCGGCCCATGGGCTTCCACCAGCCAGGTCAGGATCCGATCCTCTTCCGCGCTCCATGGGCCTTTTATTCTGTAACAATTGTTGTTGTTGTTGTTGTTGGGTCGTGGGGAGGATGAAGAACTTGGTTTCATTTTCTAAAACCTTTTTTTTTTTTTTCTTTCTATTTTTGAGTGACACTGATCAGTGGTAGTGTTGGAGAGGAGTGAGAAGAGTGATTTATTATATACGGAGAGAGAAATAGTATGGTTCATGCATGGTGTGGAGAGGAACTTCTAGGAAACTGAGTTTTTGAGAAGATACGTTTGGGAGAACAAAGCTTCTTCTGGCTGGCTCATTCATTATGTTCTATTTAGTATTATTATTCTTCCTACTGTTCCTCATTTCGGTTTGTCTTTCTTTGACCGCTTTCTCCTTTCATTTTGTTTTTATTTTTTATTTATAAATAAACTTAAATTAAGACGTTATTAAAGTTAATTTATAAATAGTATACTCCATTTTTAGCATAAGAAAAATACAATCAAAAATCGAATCCAATCTCAAATTTTAAATAATAAATGAGGAGGTGTTAAAAAAAAACTAATAAATGAGAAATAATTTTACCAACTTGGTGGGCACCTTATGTGCTACCGGTTTATGGATTTGCTATTACGTAAACATATTTTCTTTTTAACAATAATAATTAATCATTTTCTTCCTTTTGTTGGATGTCAGGATGTGGATATAGGTGTTAATCAAATTTTGTCGCCTGTCAGTAGTAGTCGCTAGTGACATGAATATGATAAATCTACATATGTATAAATCTACCTATATATATATATAAAGTGATTTTTTATTTTCTTGTATATAATCTTCTTACTATCTGACTCTTAAACTTTTAAATAATAAAAAAAATATTAAAAATTAATTATTTTTATAAATTTAAAATTTGAATTCAAAATTTTGATGTAAGGTTTGAGTTTTTAGAGAGAGATTCTAGAGTGAAGGACTTTCGTCCATGAGTTCTCCTCTTTCAATCTTCTTCTCTTCTTCTTCCCTCACTTCTATTCTAAGTGGTGTTGTTTGTGATTTAGGTAGTGGAGAAGTTTGAATAAAATGTTGGAGTCGTATGGAGTCGGTCAACGTTCTTCTTCTTCTTCCTCGCGTAGCTTAGAGTGCAGATTTTCTTCCAATTTCGAGGTTAGGAAAGTTAGAATCATTGAGTTATAATTGAGGTGTTGAACTGTTAGATTGATTTCAAGTAGTAATGTGTGGATCTATGTGAATGAGTTGGGGTGAAGGTTGGGGTTTTGGGTTGGTTTGAGGAATGAGATGATTTATGGAGATTGTTGTTGCATGATGCTTATTCTTGGAGTTTCTACGTTTTATGTGGTCAATGTTAATGTATTTGTGGATTGCATGTGTTGGATCTTTCTTATATTGCATGTGTTGGTTCGAATTTTTGAACTTGGAGTGCTTATCTTTGAATTTGTGTTAGGCGGGCATTCATCATATGCCCAAGTTTCAAGTTCACGCTGGGCGCAAAGCTGGTTGTGCCAGGTGAGAAGTGGGATTGGGGTCTTTGGATAAATGGCGTTGAGCGTGGAAGGGGTGGCTTTGGGAGTGATATCAGTAGTTGGAGTGGTTTGGATCTTTGTTGATATGAGGCTGGGCACAAGGTAATCACACCAGACGTGATTTACCTTGGTTGGTCTCTACCCAGCCTTAAAGTCGGTCGAAACACCTTGCGTTGGGTGTGAGAGAGCCTTGGTGCTCTCGGGTAAATTCGCTGGGCGTGGCACTTACCACACTAGGCGTAATTGTCTTAGGGAGTCTCTGCCAAATTGATGTCGAGCGTGACTTTCCTTATGTCGAGTGTGAGAGAGCCTTGGTGCTCTTTGTGGGTCTTAGTCGTTGGGCGTGATTTTCCCACCCCGAGCGTGAGAGAGCTTTAGAGCTTTCTATGTGAGCCCAGCGTCGGATGAAATAACAATTTTGACGGGCATGGTTCTGTTTGCATTGTTGGAATATGTGTTCCTTTTTATGTTGAAGTATGTAGTGATGATTGAGTTGTGAGATGTGAAATGCATGTTGTAATTGAGTTGTGAAGTTGTGTAGTTGTGTAGAGAGGTTATATGAGTTGAAAGTTGTGAGTTGATTGAGCTGTTGTATTGATAAAAATGTGTTGTTAAACAGTGTTAATGAAATTGTGTTGTTGTGTTGTGTTGATGAGATGTGTTGATCACTTAGGAATAGAATAGATGTTTTGAAATTTGCTCATCCCATTGTGTGAATTGAGTGTGTTGTGGTGCTATAAGAGCCCAATTTGTTGAAAATCCTTCTTGGGAAGTTGACCTTTGAAGTGGATGTTGTGTTGTTCTCCTCTAAAACTTAGTTGGTACTGTGTGTGGACAAGGTCGAGGCACATGTGTATGAAGTGACCATAATATAAGGGTCAGGTTGAGCTATACTGATTACAAACGACCAAAATTGAGTAAAGTACGAAGTCAAAAACTTAGTTTCTAATCGAGTATTGGAAGGTTATAGTATTTGAAGGATAATCAGTAAGCTAAACCCATATGAGACTTAGTTAAGCTAGCTAATGCCATGGTAGGCCTATACTCAACTGTTCTATCTTGACATTAGTACTATACTTCCTTGCGTAAGTGGCAAAATTTGAGAAATCGAGTTGTTATGTTGTAGATTGATATCCAAATTGCTATTGATCTAGCAAGCCCAAAAAGATCACCTGTGTTGTCGGTTCGGTAGGATCTAGTCATTTAAGCTACTCACCTTGTGTTGTAGGAGATCTCTGAGTTGAAATGCGTGACGACGCATATAAATTTATGATCTCCGAGTTATTGTGTCATTTACTCTAGGAGTAAGTCTACCTAGACTTACTTTGTTCAATAACTCAAGTTCTATATCAAATTTCAACGATCCAACCATTAAATTTAAAGTTCTTAATGCATAAATCAAATCTGAAAATTTTTAAAAAATTAAAAATCATTTGATACTTCATTTCATTAATTCAAATTGACTGATAATCATAAAATTATTTTATACATTAATTTGAATTAATAAAACGAAGTATTAAATAATTTTCAAATTTTTTTAAAATTTACAAATTTGATCTATGCATTAAAAACTTTAAATTTAACAATTAGATCGTTAAAATTTGATGTAGAACATGAGTTATTGAACGAAGTAAGTTTAAGTAGACTTACTCTTAGAGTAAACAGATCCCTCCTCATATATATATATATATATATATATATATATATTATTTTTTTAATTTTAAATATATTTTTAGTCTTTGTAAAATGAATGTTTAATTTTTGTTTCTATTAATTTTTTCTTAATTTTAATCCTTTTAAAATTTGTAAACATTGTTTTTGGTCCCTAATGACCAATTTAAGGAATATATATAATACTTATTACAAGTATTTATATATAAAAAAAATTTGAATTGTCACATGCACTTAAAGTAGCACCGACAATTATGAGTACTACCTAGGATGGTCACATAATCTTCTAATTATGAACGCATAAATAATTAAAAAAAGTCATAATAGTTCAACTAAAACAATAGTTTCAATTTTAAAGAAATAAAAAACAAAGGAAAAATTTTACAGGTGGAAAAATATAAATATGCTTATTTTGCATATGCTAAAAAAATATTTAATCTATTTTTTTTTATATCAAACGAATGCTCCATTATTTAATATATACTGTATCTTCAAAATTCAAATATTATCTCAATACATCATTTTTATATTTAATTCAATATTTTTTAACTTCTTATCTCTTTAAATATATTATGTTCATATTTTTTTCAATATTTTTCTTTAAAAAATTATTAATAGTTAAAAATAATTTTATATTACAATATAAATTATTTATTATAAATTTAAAATATAATTTATATGTTTAAAATTATTTATTTTGCATATATTTTAATTTACAATACAATATATAATATTAAAAAAAATTATTATAAATTTGATTATATAAAATAAATAGTTATCCTATGTAATGCACATATTAAAATGCAATAATTTTCTTAAATGACGGTATCTTTTTGTATTGGATAGGTCTCGAACGTTCTTATTGAAGACACCTCGACCCTAAGGATAATGGAAAATTGGGAACATGGTGTGTACATCGAGATGCTATCCAGCATGCCGAGAAGGTGTCGTTTCCAAATCGAATGGTCCTCGACATGTCGAAACCCATTGCTCCTTGGCTAAGACGATAAAAGGTAATGTCTAACCATTACACGATAATTAAAGGTTTTAAATACTCTTTATTATTTCCATTCAAACGGTAATGTATTCTTAGCTATTTATATTCTTGCATTTCACCTTCAAAAGACACAATCAATTTGAGAAATCACTTACAACCTCCAAACACTTATTAACTTAAGCATTATAGTCTCTTTTGTAAGTATAACCACCACTTTGAAGGCCTAGCCTATTCCCATCCCTAACTCCAAGAAACAGATAAGCAAACCCTCATCAACATACTTGGAGGCATACTCGAGCAATTTATCTTGAACCCAATTTGAAGAATCGTTTACAACCATGGTAGATTCAATGTCCAAGTTGGGCACCTCTATCAATTTGGATTATCCTTAAGAAGAGCCCTTCCACTCGGACTAGCCGTTATCATCCTGAATAACCTTGGGAATCTGGGTAATCTCTCTCTTATGGGTAGGTTTGGGGTGCTTCATCCTAATGGGGGATATTAAGGCACTAGAGGTTGGGAGAATGGGTGAGGAAGATGACTTAGAGGATTCAAATGAATGATTTGAGGATATAACATTAACGTCCATCCCACCTAAATAAGGAGACTCAACATAATTACTAAAACTCATAAAGGAGAGGAAGGGAAATGTACCTCATAGGTACTCAATCACTAAGGGAGAAAACAGGATGAGGATGAGTGCTCAAAGTGATTTGAAGATAGAGGTGCTAGGTAATCACATGTGAAGGTTAAGTGGCCTAATTTATAGGCCTAAGAGCTTTAAGAAATGAAACATCGCAACCACCTTGAATTGTCAGATCTCTAAAAGATCGATGGACTAGAGGGATGCGACCTCATATTTTGAAACCCCCCTCAAGTTAGGGTTCTAGAAACTTCTTATGCAAGCCAACTGCTTTATAATCATTACACTCCCTTTGAAGCAATCCTGACATCATGTATCCCAAAATGGCAACACAATAGAAACCCCAAAACATTTTTAAAATCCAAGAGATAAAATCTTGTCCCACCAAACATGTCATCTGAACTAAAGTAAATTTTACTCGTTAAAGTTAAAGTTTTTTTTTGGGGGGGGGGGGGTTATGTATTAGAT